CCGCACTTCAAAAACACTTGCATATGGGATGCATTAATCCTTACCTGATCAAATATAAAACGGTTTGCAACACGTTTGACAGTGCTAGCATCTACAGCATCAATTCTGGCAAACAATTCAGCGAATGGGATTCTTCTCCCATACGTAAGTAGCTGGAAGAACAGAATGGATTACACCAAACAATCAGGCTCTTTACCGGGAAGGAAATTTTTTGAAAACAAGAGCTTCTGTCTTTGATAAAAAGAGTCCATGTTTTAGACACTAAACTAAACCGTCTTTATCTCACACTACTCACTTAGCACTCTTAAGTAGACAATCCAAGAGATCAAAAGTAATACAAGGGAATCCTTTCATTTTCTGCAAGTAATATACAAAGCATTCTTTCATTTTATTTTATCCACCTTTTTTTTACCATATGCAAATGAAAAATGCATCAAGTTCTTTACCTGGCACCCAATATCTTCAGCAACAGGACAGGTTCCATCTATGTGAAGTAGCAAAGAAGATTTCAACTACAATGCAATAGAACTGTAAGTGAATGCCAATATACTGAACACCACAAGATAAAAAATAAGTGGCCAAGCTAAAATCGATTTCCCTTTCATAACGCTAAGCATGTTGCACGGATACAAGTTAATCTACCAGACCTCCTTTGTCCATATATTAGTTTTAATGTGTGTAATAAAAAATGTGGATAACACATTTTATTCAACAAATGATGTAGCTCTGACTCACTTTGGCACAACAAATACTTATCTAAGATAAGTTAGAACTACGGGCAAAATATGGGATACTTGGTAAAGGGTTATTTGCTTGGTGAACCAAAAACAGTTTTAAACATCCCCAACTTTAGAAATACTTCTTACTCATTAATAAAGACTTATGGCTTTCATTATCTCCAGAACTCAACTATAAAGAAATAAAGACCTAAGACTTGAGCATATAGGCAAGGCATATTGATCCACAAATTAGGGTGGTAGCAATATATGTCGTATTGTTTTTGAATTACAAAACAATATACACATATATATATATATATATATATAGATATACGCAATATAGTTTTATTAAAAGCACTTAAAAACTGAGGACAAGCAAGCAGATAATATCAAGGTTCAGCACAAGAACCGGTAACTACCTGGTTACAAGCACGGGTAACATCAGCTTCAGAAACTCGATAACATAACTTGCTCATCTCGTACATAATTGCATAAGCTAGATCATCCAAGCAATCCGGCTAAAAACAAAATGTAAAAATGAAAATGAATAACTAGAATTATTGAGGCATAACATACAACATCAATTGTGAATTAAAATCAATCACACTAAAGCTAGGCATGACATATGTGAAAACTGATGGGCAATATTGATATCTGTTTTATCATGTTTGTGATGCTATAAAATTATGATTGATGGGCATCTTAGTCTGAGCAAAATCCTGATACTTAATTTTTTTGCTCCAGATTACCATGATCAAGAGTTCTAAGGTATTGGCTATTAAACCGTAACAGTTTGATCCCAAGACATTAGTGGAAAGGAAATCATTCTAAAAGTTAACTTGGTATCATATTAAATTATGGAGAGAAAGGATTGCAAATTTTCAAAATTATATTTTTTTTCTCTTGCACTTGCACCCTTTTATTTTTTAATAAGAATTTATATTTATTTTAGATATTTTTTTAATATGCAAATTATTTTTTACAGTGTAATTTTTTTCTCTTTTTTTTTTCCGTAATTGCAACCTGTTATTTTTAATAAGAATTTATATTTATTTTAGATATTTTTTTAATATAGAATTTTTTTTTAAATTTTTTTTGCAATTGCAACCTGTTATTTTTTAATTAGAATTTATATTTGTTTTAGATATTTTTTTAATATAACAATTATTTTTTTAGTTTTTTTATAAAAATAATTTAACAATCTCATCACTAAACATAGTGTATGAGAGAAGTTGAAAATGGTACGGCAGTAGGTATAGGAGAAGTCAAAAATGCTTGAGAAATTTAGCCAAAACCTCTTCATTGGACCCTTGTTTAGTGAAAATAACAGCCCAATTTATTTTGTTTCATAAACTCCTAAGGAGAAAAACAAATGATTGAGCAAGAATAAAGTAAAATATCTTCTTTTTTTTTCTTAGACAATATTGTCAAAGTAACATATTACTGTCAAACAGAGTAATTATCAAACAGAGTAACATGTTGCTGTTACTGTTTACATCAATTTCAACGGTAATAATTTTTTTTTTTATAAAGAATTTCATAGTCAACATCGATATTAGTTGATAGATCTTGATGAGAGAATTCTAAAAATACTAATTTTATTACAAATTGATATCTACATAAAAAGTTATATTATATTAAAGTTTAATATTTTGATAATAATCATATGTGTTAGAATTTTCAAGAAATTTTGTTTATGCTGATTTTTAATGCATTAAAGTTTAATTACATTAATTTCAACGGCAACAAAATTTTTTTTTTTTTATAAAGAATTCTATAATCAATATGGATCTTAGTTGATAAATCTTGATGAGAGAATTCTAAAGATACTAATTTTATTACAAACTGACAATTACATAAAAGTTATATTATATTAAAGTTTAACATTTTGATAATAATCATATATGTTGTAATTTTCAAGGAATTTTGTTTATGCTTTTCTTTAATAAAAACAAAAATGAAAACTAATAAAAGCAAACATATATGTAATAAATTTCATAACACAAAATATCTTCTTGCATTAGGTTCATCTAATAGTTTTAACAAACACATATGTAATAAATTTCATAACACAAAATACAAACAATTGTGAGACAAAATATCAAAAAAAAAATAAAAGCAACGTCCATTGATGATGTAAAAGCACACTTGACATTTTAATTTGAGGTATAACAAGATAAATTGCCATAGAAAAGTTTATTTTTCATCACAACAATTACATGTCTCAATATATAATTTTAATGTCGTTCACTCTTCCACACGTCCAATTTTCTATCTATCAATATTAAAATGAATGCATGAACCCAAAAAAAAAAAATTTGAGAAGACAAAGAGATGTGATTTGAGATATTTCAATTGATAAATTCTATTAATTAATAGTTATTGGGCTTTAATGGTCGGGCTTTTAATATTTGTTATCCATTAAAGTTGAGTTCTTTGATTTTATCTATATTCACTTTATAATTTGAGAGTGGAAACATGTTAAGTTTTTTATTTACTTGGCACATTTTTTTAGCATTATTAATGAAATGTATAGTGCAATTTTTTTTTCTATTTTTTTCGCAATTGCAACCTTTTATTTTTTAATTAGAATTTATATTTGTTTTAGATATTTTTTTAATATAACAATTATTTTTTTAGTTTTTTTATAAAAATAATTTAACAATCTCATCACTAAACATAGTGTATAGGAGAAGTTGAAAATGGCGCGGTAGTAGGTATAGGAGAAGTCAAAAATGCTTAAGAAATTTAGCCAAAACCTCTTCATTGGACCCTTGTTTAGTGAAAATAACAGCCCAATTTATTTTGTTTCATAAACTCCTAAGGAGAAAAACACATAATTGAGTAAGGATAAAGTAAAATATCTTTTTTTTTTCTTAGACAATATTGCCAAAGTAACATATTACTGTCAAACAGAGTAACTATGAAACAGAGTAACATGTTGTTGTTATTGTTTACATTAATTTCAACAGTAATAATTTTTTTTTTTATAAAGAATTTCATAGTCAACATCGATATTAGTTGATAGATCTTGATGAGAGAATTCTAAAAATACTAATTTTATTACAAATTGATATCTACATAAAAAGTTATATTATATTAAAGTTTAATATTTTGATAATAATCATATGTGTTAGAATTTTCAAGGAATTTTGTTTATGCTGGTTTTTAATGCATTAAAGTTTAATTACATCAATTTCAGCGGTTACAAATTTTTTATTTTTTATGAAGAATTTCATAGTCAACATGGATCTTAGTTGATAAATCTTGATGAGAGAATTCTAAAGATACTAATTTTATTACAAACTGACAATTCCATAAAAAGTTATGTTATATTAAAGTTTAATATTTTGATAATAATCATATATGTTATAATTTTCAAGGAATTTTGTTTATGCTGATCTTTAACACATTAAAGTTTAATTATGAAGGGGTATTGATCAAATCTCAAAAAAAACATGGGGTTTAGAGTAATTAATAAATGCTAAAAAAAAATTTAAATCAAAAAATTAAAAAATTAGAATTTGAATATTGTAGTTCCCACCAAACTTGTTGATTAAAAATTTCATTTTCCTTATATAATATATAGATGGATAGATATAGATTTGAGAAAAAAATATCGTCTTTGGCGGCATTGAACATGCTTGTCTAAGCATGGAGACCAACTAGTTGACCTAATTAAGAAGACACTCTTTTACTAAACATAATGTTTGAGTTAAAATTTGAATCTCACCTCTATCCGGAAAATGTCTCGTAACTCAAATTTTGTGGCTCAAAAGTGGCTCAAATGGCCAAAACGACGTCGTTTTGGCCATTTTTATGTTATTCTGTATTCAAAACGACGTCGTTTTGACCATTTGAACCACTTTTGAGCCACAAAATTTGAGCTACGTAATATTGTCGCCTCTATCCAATGCAGTTTTTCCTTATCCCGTTCAAATGTCAAGTGTAGATTTTTTTAAGTTTCATGGAACTCGAGAGCTTTTCTACTTTGTATATATGAGTCTAGCACTATGTTGCTAGAGTAAAGTTGTTCGAGTCTCACCAAGGTGGGATTAATGGATTATGGATACCTCATCAAAAAGAAAAAAAAAAAAACAAAAAAAGGTTATTAATAGTGTCGACCATTCTTAATCCAAACACATCCTGAATAGGCAAATGCTCCTTGATAGTAAACCATACACTGTTTTCAAAACTTCCATTCCTAATTACTTGAGTAACTTTCTTGGTTCTTGTTCAATTTTATAATTATGAATTCTTTACATGGTTTTGGTCTTCTATGCACTTTCATCAACTTCAATAACTACTAATTAATAAAATGTTAGTACCTAAGAAGAATCCAACCAACGTAGACAAATTGGTCAAATCAACACTATAGTCAAAACAAAATACTGAAAAAGTAGGTGAAAACATTTATATTGAATTCAAAATCAATTACTTTCACTCTATCATGAAACCAAAATCAATGGAATTGTACAATTTCTCTACTTCGCATGAGAAAGTTTCTCTCTCCTACCATGTTATATTGATCAACTTCCATGAAAACCACCCCATCAACTGCCTTATCACTCTCCACAACCACCACATTGCTTGAAACGTTTGTCACTCCATGTCCTGGAAACCCTACAAACCCTGGAGAGAAATAAAATGAGTATTGGACATGATTTATCCGGTTCGGAAACACCAACACCGATGAAAAATCTGCCACCCACCTTGTCCCGTTCCCCGCCACCGCCAATTTTGCCACTGTCGATTTCAAACTCATCCCATTCACATTGTTGTGATCAATGACCACTTGATCAATGGATGTGAATTGTCCCTCTAACTTCACAATGGGTACCATGTTTTGTGGTGCCCCACAAAACATGTTATTGACTATGGTCAGCCCTGAGATTTGTCCTTTAATTGATTTCAACACAATGTTACCATCTCCAAGAAAAAACCCATTACTAACATGGATTTGAGATGGGTCTTCAATCACTATAGCATTGAAATCTAGGTAACAATTGTCTATTCTAGTTTGTGCAGCTTGAACTAGAATTCCAACACCACCAAAATATGTTGCCTTGTTGTAACAATGTACCCCGGTGACCATGTTAGCTTGACCCTTTAAAATAATTCCTGTGGCAGCTGAGAAGATAACGACATCTGTGATTGCGTTGTCATTGCTAGCAAGAACAATGCCAGTGCCCGAAAAATCTCTCTCCTCTTTGTCACCTCCGATTGTTGAGTGTTGCCCGAGGAAGCAGCTTGATATGAAGGTCTCGTGGCCTCTTTCGACTAGAATTCCTTCAGTGGTGAAATGGAGGAAGAAGCAATTGTTTATGCGGATCCTGGCTGAATCGATCACCAGAAGTCCTCCTCCTCGGAAGCTTGAATCAAAGAGGATGTCGCGGAAGGTGATGTCCTCATAGTAGATTCCATAGTTTTGATTTTCTTGGCCAGATAGAGGATCAGAAGAAGTTGTATTGTTAAGTGGCTGAGAATTTGGTGCCCATAGTTCAATTAGATGTCTATCTCCAGGAAATGTGTTTGACGCTCTCAAAGTGCCTCCTTGTATCTAAAAGGCAAAGCCAACTACATTGCTTAGCATGACGTTAAATGACAATATCAGAATACGTATCAATATTAGTGATACAATTTTTAAATTGATAGATATCAGACAGTATCAATATATTGATGAAAGTTGCTTAGTTGAGAGAGAGAGAGAGAGAGAGAGAGAGAGGTTGAAGCAACTTCATGAAAGAACTGAAGAATATAAAGATTTGAATTTCTAGTAAATATCATTTAGAGAGACAAATAGTTAGTATCTAAAAGGCCAAATACAAAAATTTGGAATTTTAGATTTTAATTTTTGAACAAATTTCTATCCTAAACTATGAAAAATGATTGATCCACCAAATTTGGGCTCGCCCGAATTATCCAAATTACATAAGCCTAACAACTTACCGGACGACCGGCATCACTCTTATCAACCATGGTTATCACCCTTGTCACTCGTAATTGTCCCCGTTGTCAATCAGTGTATCAGTTGGCATTCGCCCGGATAACCGGTCAGACGACCGGCATGCACAAATTCAAGTAATTTGAATGAGCCTAAATTTTATTGAGAGGGTAATTTTTGGGAAAATTGGGCCGAACTTCGAGTTTGGTTTTGAGGCCCAAAACGCAGTGGACTAGGTAAAAAGGCCGTACAGAATACTCCGGCCCAGAAGGGCAAAGTTACTCCGGCCTTGGGAAGACAAAGCTACTTCGGCCCAAGGAGGCAAAATTACTCCGGCTCAAGAAGAGATCGTTACTTCAGCCCAAGGAAGAGTAAAATTACTCCGGTCTGGAGGCAATTCACAGTTAGGCCGGTCTCAGAGTTAGTCCGGTCGCAGTATGTTCTGAGAGAAGGCCGGTGTGCGGAAGTTAGTACCGGTCGTGACTTTACATAGGTTAGGTTCGGTCCGAACTTGTTACTTGAATTTTGATCTACGCATGGTCGAAACAGGGCAGCCGAGTAAAGAGTTGGAGGAAGAAAGACCGAGCTATAGGATAGTTTCAAGCCTTCTGTGGCTCGGTATAGGCCCAACGTTTACTATCGGTCGAAAAGGAAGTTCGGCCGTAAGAAAACCATCCACTTGGTTTAAGCAGTGGGGGAGGGTTGTGAAAGGATAAAAGCATTATCCTTAGGAGATTGAATACTAAGGAGGGGAACTGCTGTAATGGACGAAAATAACAAGTCCTACTAGGTTGTGCCCATACTGAAACTTATAAAAGCCTCACAAGCATCAACCTTTGGAGGAGGTAATTGAACACAATCTTTTCTGAGAACTTAGAGCCTTGTCTATTTGTCAAGTTTTCTGACTTTGGCATGCGGAGAGGTTTCCGGCACACATCCTGCCGGCCGGCTAGCTCACGTTTGTGTTTCAAGGTGACAAAGCGACGTCGTACGGAGGAGCGTGGACTTTCAACAGGATTATACGAGGAGAATTATTTCCTCCCCGTACAATTGGCGCCGTCTGTGGGAAGAAACGGACAAAGAACAAAAAACCTCTTGACTAGCTTCTCCTTTTCTCATTCAATGGGCACACATTGAAGACTTGCCACCGTCCCGGCGTCGTAGGACTAACTCCCAAGAAGGGGGCGTAAGGCGTGAGGGATTACCTGCTGTGCGCTCCCATGGCGGACTTGGAGCCCCAACAACATAATTCCAGGAGGAGCGGCAGGGGAAAGGCGGAAATGGAAGCCCTCGTCACTCTCAAAAGTCCCGACAGGCAAAGGAGGAGGATTGGATCCTCAAGTCCTGAAGATCGCTAAAGGAACAGGAATGAACTGATTCGGGGAATGGCGGCGGACAATGGGAGGCACTTGAAACGCCATAAGGATGAAGAACCAAAAGATGTGGCGAGCAGGAGAGGGGCGCAGGCACAAGACCCCCCTCGCCACTCAGAGAGTGTAGTAAGCAATACTACACCTTCCAAGAAGAGAGAGCAGAATGCCTCAGACAAGGCGACACTCACTCCTTATCTTCAAGACTCGGTCACTCCAGGTCTGAAAGGACGAGATCCGAAAGATCATACACTGAAGGAAGCACGTATTGGCCTTCCATTCACACCAAACCAAGATGCCAGACAAACCGAGCTAACCCAGGTCATCCGACTTACGAACCGTGCTAGAGAAAAAGCACGATGCAAGGAGGATGCCAGGGCAAGAAGGATCCAACCGAATTTCGGCCCTACAACGGTTGGCTCCTAAAACGCATGGAAGCGTCGAAGTTGGAAAATGCCAATACCGGCGACGGCCTAACGAAACCACAGCGGACAAAGCCATGGCAAGACTACAGACTTAATTCGCCGTTTGTCGCCAGCAATCGATTAAACGCACCCCTACCATCAGGCTTCCTTCAGCCGAAGTTCAATACATATGAAGGGAAGACGGATCCGTATTCGTCACCTGAAGCCAACTTTCGCCAAAGTCATGGCTGTGGTACAGGCGAACGAGGCCCTAAATGTTGCATACTCTTCCCATCAAGTCTGGGCGACTTAGGCTTGACTTGGTTCGAAAAACTCCCCAGAGGGCAGCATAGCCTCCTGGGCCCAATTGGCAGAAGCGTTCGTAACAAGGTTTCGGACAATACCTAAAACACCGGTGGAGATAGACCAAGCTACTCTCCATCGACATGGGTAAGAAAGGAAACCCTCAGATCTTAACACAGTCGCTACCTGGGAGACATTAACCAGTTGGAGACTGCCCCACCATCTAGCCATTGCGCAATAAAAAGAGGCCTACCAGTAGGAACCGACCTAAAAGGGATTCCAATTTCCTAGACGCCACCCTCACCATGGAAGCCCTGATGGAGAGAGTGCATCAAAGCACATCAGGGTAGAGAAGAATGGCGCACGTTTTCCCCCCCAAAAAAAAGCCAAAACAAGGTGCGGCCTACGGTACCGAAAAGAAAACCTCAGCATAAGGTTTTAATACGGTGGACCGAAGTAACAAAAATGGACGTGGCAGACGGATAACGGAAAGGACCCAAAACAAAAGAATGGCTAAGAATTTCGCATCTGCATAACCACGGTGTTTTCAAAAAAACCAAATATATCGGATTCTGAGCGAAAATCCAAGGATAGGAGCCTTTTGTCAAGTGGCCAGCCAAAGCTTGGGGAAGCTCAGAAGATTACGAACGACAGATCCACGTGCACTTCCACAAAGAAAAGGGCACCGAACTGAGATTGCACGCCCCCTAAGACAAGCATTTAGAAGAATTGGTGGCAGCTAGGCCACTTGGAACGAATATCATTGAAAAGGAGGAACGCAACCGGCCCCCAAGGATCATGACCATCCACGAATGCCAATTTGACCCCGCCCCTCCACAAGGTATCATCAATGTAATACATGGAGTTGTAGAACCCTGAGCACGTATGCGAGCTGAAGAGGTTCCGATCAAAAAAGGCTGAGCAACCTCAAAGAAAGTTACGAAAGCGCCCAACCAGAACCAACAAGAGAGGAAAAGACAGAGGCCACAAATGTCATGTCCTTTTCGGATAAAGGACTTGGATCGAATTTACTCGCCCCATAATGATGCCCTGGTTGTCACTCTCCGAGTCAAGGATTTTGACGTCAAGCCGGATTCTGATTGACCAAGGGTAGTTCATGTGAGATCATGTTATTACGACACATTCAAAGCAACTAAGCTGGCAGGACCAAAGACCTTGGCACACCACGCAGTTTCTCCCCTGATTGGCATTCAACTCCATGCCAGAGTGGCCTGTCGGCAAAATAATCCTTCCAGTCAGAGCAGGACGTGTATCAAAACAAGGTGGAGTTCTGGGTATTGAAGGTCCCCTCCACCTACAACATCATCCTGGGCAGAACATAGGCTGCATGCCATTGCGTTCGGTAGTAGCGTCTTATCAATTCATCAGGTATGCGGTTCCCCAATGACGCCGGTATACATCGAGAGTTTTATGGCGATGCATATCATGTCAAAACAACTTCGCGGCACAGCAAATGGAAGCCGGCCTGCCAGGATATGTTCATCGGTGGAGGAGCTCAGAAAGTAAATGAACTATTCGCTGACAGTCGCAAAGAAGCTGATTTCAGAAAGCAGTGGAAGACTTGGTGGAGGAAAATAGATGAGAAGAACCCGGATAAGTTCTTCTTGCTGGCTCATCATTATCCAGCGCTGGAGAGATTAGAGGTCATGGTAATTCCTTGTTACCTCTAATATCGAAGGTTTGCCTGGACAACCGTACGCATGCCAGGCATTGAATCCAACTTCATCAGTACCAAACTCAATAAATCCACCCATTCCGCCAGCACCAGTCATTCAAGCAGCACAACGCAGATCAGGCACTCCACCACACCGAAAAATAGTGGCAGAAGAGGTAGGCCACCTGTTGGAGCTGGAGCGCAATATTAGGAACCCATGCAGACTACCCAAAATGGATCTCCCAACCCACCGTCGTTAGTGCCAAAAAGAATGGTAAATGGCGTGTCTGCGTCGACTACATAAAGCAGTCAACAAAGCCGTGCCCAAAAAGAATATGCTTTTCCCTCTACAAGGTATGATCAACTGGTGGCCACTTAATCAAGCAGGACATAACCGACTTAGTCTTGTTTGGGATGCATACAGAGGCTACCACCGAGATCGCCATGCATGAACAGATCCAGGAGAGGTCAGCTTCCTTCACAACACTGCGTGACATTCCCGAGATCAGGGGGTTATATTGCTACAAGGTCATGCCCTTTGGCCTAAGAAACGCAGGGGCGAACATTCCAAAGGATGGTCACCAAGAATGTTTGAACCATTATTAGGCAGAACAATGGAGGCGTACATCGACGACATGGTTGGTCAAAAGCAAGGATGAGAATGACCATCTGAAAGACTTAGGCGAGATGTTCCAAATCCTCCGCAAGAAACACAAGCTAAAACGGCCTCAATGCGTCCCAAATGCGCATTCGGAGTTGGATTGGCAAATTCTTCCGGGCCTTCCTGGTGACCAACCGAGGCATAGAGCCGACCCCTCTCGATCAAAAGCGGATCCAGAGTTGGACGAGCCAATGACTCAGTTAAAGAAGTGCAAGCTCTTACTGGTATGGCGGCTGCACTCAACCGGTTCATAAAGCAGATCGTCGGACAGGCCTCGACCGTTCTTCCCAAGCTTTTAATAGGCCAAGTTTTTGAGTGGGATAAGAATGCGACCTGATGCTCTGGAAAGCTTAAAGGAATCATGTCTTCACCCACCAGCTACTTGTTACTGCCAGTACCTGGGAAAGAACTCTTTGCTTACCTAGCAGTCTCTCACCGCAGTTCAGCGCAGTGTTGGTTCGTGCAGAAGGAATACACCACACTTGCCCATCTTTTATGTCAGCAAGAAAACATTGTTGGGAGCCGAAACACCCATAGGTACTTACCAATTGGAGAAACTAGCATTAGCTTAATGATCGCATACCACGAAAGGTTGGCCGGCATTACTTTCACTGCCCACATACATGTCGTCCTCACAAGCCTTTCCATTAAAAGCTCTGTTTAAAAGGCGCAAACCTTCAGTGGGGCGAATTTTGAAAT